ATTTTTTTTAAAAGTTATATAAAAGATTGTACGAGAGATAGAAAACTTCAGGTTCAAGTAGCTTTAGATCATTGTGCGCATTACAGGGTATCTATAAGTTGATCATAAAATAATTAGAGATTAATTTGTTTGTTCTAAAGCAGTTTGTTTAATTGAAAGAAGAGCTGTACAATATATATATATGCACTTTGTGATAAATTACAGGGTATCTACAGTTAATCATAAGTACTCTAATTTACTCATGCCAAATGCTCAGTTACTGAAAATTAAATTAAATTTGAAGCAACTTCAAAACAACCTTGCTGTGAGTCGAGTGCGTGTGGCAACTCTGGCAAGTTACAGGGTTGCATAAGCCCAACACCTGCAATCCCGTTAAAAGCAACGTTTCCGCATTTGGTTGGCGCCCAAAATCAGCTGGCCAAATATTCAGCCGTAATGGGAATGTTTTCGCAGGCCTTATGCGATTTTCAACGAAGCATACCCTGCACTCTTGTATCACACACACACACACAGAGCAGAACACATTTCGGACTCGGGTTTTGGAGTCCGGCCGAAAATGTTTGAGCGCCGTGCATGTAAATAGCTAACGTAATGGGAATTTGGCGGTATTTGGCATTTGGTATTGGCGTTTCAGCTTCCAAAGCTGGATAAACAAAAAGGGGCTTGCCATGCGGCTTGTTGCACTTGTGGTGCCACTTGCTGCAAGCCCTGCAGTTGAAACAATGAAATGACATCCAGCTGGAGGGCTTGCTTTGCCCGTAAACGGGGGTGGCATTATAAGAGTTAGGGTTAACTATAAAAAAAGCAAATAAATAAATAGTTAGGGTGGAACGGGCGAGAGCAGCGGGGAAGCTTGGGTAAGGGTTGCTCTGCAACAAGGACGAGTCCTTGCTGTAATATACATATTTCTCATTATAATCCGATAGCTGTGATAACTCAAATATAAATATGCAGTTGATCTGTAAATATACTTGTATTAAAAAGCAATATGAAATGACTTATTAGAAGTTAAGTTAAGTACTAAAGGATGTCTAAATAATGTTCGATGTTATACTAAATAAAATTGACTGTCCAACTTCAACTTCTATCCAACTTCTATATCTTTATAAATATAAATAGTTAAGCTGCGGAATGGTCAACTTATTTTTATATTGACAAATACAACACATGGTCGAGAATAAAAATGGAAATCATGATATATGTATCTTTATAGAGTTGGCAAAAAAAAAAAAACCGTATTAAAATTAATAACAAAAACAATTTTAATTACATAATAAATTATATATATAACAAAAAAGTAAGGATAAGATTTGTACATGTGGAGCACAGTGAAAGTAATAAGTCCAGATATCTTGATAAATAAAATAGATTTCTAAAACTTTTCGATCAAACGTTTCTATGGCAGCTATATAATATAGTAGTCCGATCCGGCCGGCTCCGACATATGTACTGCCTGCAACAGATAGACGGATATTAATCCAGATCGAGAATATATATATATATACTTTATACTCTATACGTTCTATTTCGTGTGCAAGTTAAAATACCCTATACAAGGGTATACAAATTATTTATTTATTCATAATAGTTAGATAATTAAAATTGAATAAAAATCTACTTCACACTTTATTCTATGCTTCTGCGCAAATACTGTTCAAGCTCATGAAACATCATACTCAATTTATGCACTCCCACATGCTATAGGGTATTTTAATAGCTTTTTATAAATAGTCGATATTATTTTTAGATTTCTTCTAACAATACGAGCCGCTCGGCTTGCACACTCTATAAATATTTGCCTGGTCCACGTTTAAACACTCGGCTGAATTTATATATAATTCAATTTAAATTTATGTGCTTCTGCTTGGAGATTTATTTATGTCTGCTCTCAAGTGTTGGCAATTGATTAGCATACTTAAATTGCTTTTATTTTTCACCGATTTTAGATGCACTTCCCCCGGCACACACATGCCCGAGAGTCAGCTCACATGTGCTTGATAAACATGTTCAGGTTGACATGCAGCAACAACAAGAGCAACAACAAGAGCAACAGCAATAACAACAACAAGAGCAACAACAAATGTGTAAAATGTGTTTTACATATTCGATTTGTTACCGAAACGCAGCTTTGCCCTACGTTTATCCATCTACTTTGCACCTTAGCGCCGCAAAGCGCGCTACAAAATATTTTTCTGGCTTTTTTTTCTTCTTTTTATCTGGCCGGAAATTCACACGTGTGTATGTGGGTGGTGTGCGCGTCCATGTGTGTGTGTGAACGCGCTGCGGCTTTCACGGCTGTGCGGCTGAATCCTGCTTGAGTCCTTGTTGCTGGTATTTGCGCATTGTGTTTGCGGCTCAAGCGCGTGTGGCAACAATCACAAGCGAATTCGCTGCCAGACACGAACTGCTCTTGAGTGAGTGTGAGTATGAGTGTGTATGTGTGCGTGTGTGTGTGCGTGTGTGCATATCGAGCAATAACGATGAGTGGGCACTTGATGTTAGTGCAGCTGTTTTGACTGGCAAAGACCTTGACGTGCCTACAAGCCAAAGCAATTATCGATAAGGATTCCACAGCCATCGGCTCGAATGTTTCTGTTTTCATTGCCATTTTGCCAATCAAGTCGAACAGCAATGAAATTCTCTTGTCCAAATACCCTCGGTATGGGTTGTCATACTATATCAACGTCACGCTTAGGTCTCATTAATTTGTAAACAAACCACACTTAATCTCATTATGAACACCCTCTAAAAACCCTCTAAAGACAGTTTCTAACTACAAACAAAAAAAAAACAAAAAAATCCTTTATTTTCTTTTAACTTTTTTAATGGCAAAAAGTTGTCACGCGCGCGTAATTCCGAGCTTCATTGTCACATCTCACAAAAGAGAAAACACATGTTAGTTAGCCCAAGCAGATAGACTGGCAGATACCCTATACGCGACTCTCGCTTAGAATATACCTCCATTTGAATAAACCGTTAATTAAAATAGGCCTGCCACCAATAATTTATAGATTAGAATTTTTAGCTGAGAGCGCACGACCAGAGGATACCCTGTAAGCTTGTTTAAGCAACGCTTGCAAGCATCACAGGCAGCACACTTATATTTACACTCAGTTGTGAAGAATTGAGCATATTTTAGTTAGCATGTCTCGACTAGGAGATACCCTGTACTCATATTTGATACCCATTGACACGAACAATTGTCGCTTCTTTTCATCTCTCACCATGGATAAAAATTACTCAAATAACTCGAAATCTTAGCCCCGACGAG